GTTCAGAAGAAATACATGAAATTGTATTTTTGTTTTTGGATCTTCGGTGAGTTTGTAATGCGCCAAAGTTAATATTTTGCTTTTATTGGGGTTTGAGCCAATAGAGTTCTATGAAACACGCAGTTCAGTTTTCGGCCACTCAAGTGACCCCTTATTCCGTGGTTGATGAGGATGAAGTTATTTTCCGTGGAATAGAATTTCTTTAAAAGTCACAGAACGCGCAACTGGTCGTAGTCTTAAGAGCAAACATGTTTTGGTAAGCAGTATTGAAATTACTCCACGTTTTTTCATCCGACTTTGCTGAACATAGTTGAATTCAAAGATGCCTTTGCTGTTCAACACCTCTTTACGGCTGATCACATAGTTTGACACTGCGAAACCTGGTGGGCATCAGTCCCTTGACTTTTGTTTTCTTTCCATTAAATCGACGTGGGCATCGAGTTCAATGTATTTTCAGTATCAAGGCTTGCGACCAAAACACCCCTGACAGAATAGAAATATTTTACAGTAAAGTGTCGAGTAGTCGAGCGAGATGATAAGCTGCTGGCTTTTGGATTAGCGGCTTTTGGCCATGTTAACTGTGGCGCCGCAACAAAGTTCTTTTGAGCGCACATGACGGGTCGGCGTAACCTCATGGCGGCCGCTTCTACTGTAGCCAACAGACGCTGTCCAATGAATTTTGGATAGCTTGAGGGCACCTTGTTAATCACTCGGAAACCAGCATAGTTTATTTATTTAACTACAACATAAAAAAATGGCCTGACGAGAATTTATCGAAAACAAACGCATGTTAGTCAATTTATCTTCTGACATTTTCAATGAAAATTTTCGCAAATTTCAAAATAGTGTCCGCAAAAAGGTTTCTTTGCAGTACATTTCATATTTTGCATAGTTATCTTCAGTAACATCATTTTCCACGGTGAAGTAGATGGCACGAACGTTGAAGCAAGAGATTTTGTATTTTTGCAAATGGTATGGCCAGTCGAGGTTCTTTAGAAGTATGAGTGGCGCATCGTAACCACTATGTATATCTATGTGTAACTATTTCAACATATTGTACAAGTCGCTATGCGGCTGTCTACGCGGACTCTATAGTAAGCTCCAAGCCACAGAGTGCATACATGTCCATAACCAAATAAGTGAGTCCTCTACTATCATCATATCCCGATCGCAGCCGACAAAATTTGCAAGTTCGTGGTGCAATGAGAAAGTGTTGTACTTCATGACCAGAGGTCCTGGGTTCGAACCCTGGATGATCCACACCTGATATTGGGTATGACTGGCTGTTGATGGTTACCAAGCCATAAGTGGCTATTCTGGTCTTCTTTATTTTTTCGGTTCCACTTCAATATATATTTTAAAAATAGCTGTACGGCTGTCTGCGAGGAAAATATAGTGAGCTCCGGAACATTTTTGTACCTTAACTAGCTCGGTGAGCCCCCTACTATTCTATGTATATAGCCTTTTCATCATCCTGAAGAAAACGAAAAAGGGACGAAGACATGGAAATTGACTGAAGTCTAAACATATATATACATATATTTGGTTGTGATTAGTTTTGTTGTGAAGCAAACGAAAACCCGACGAGGTTTCTAATGCACTTTGGACATGAAATGTGCAGACTGCAAAATCGAATTTCCTAAGGCTTTAAGTACTCCTGATTCCCTGAAATGATGGCACTTTTTCTATTCGGCAGCAAGTGCTTCACTCAGAGGGATTTCTTTAAATTCAAGGTCGACTTACGTAAACTATTGTCACATGAGAGTGTTCGCCAAAGTGCGATCTTGGTGTGCAAACCTTAATTGGATGGGCAGCTGCGCAGCCAAAAGGGAAGTTCGCATTTTTTTTCTATCGAGGAATGATCAATTTTCCTCTTGAATTCCATTAGAATGACTTACGTAGAACTATGAGGTAGGCACCGAGTTGAACGTATTCTCAGTAGGAAGGCTTGCGACTAAAGCACTCCTTACGAAATAAAAAGACTTTACAATAAACTTTCTGTCAAAAATTACTCTAGCAGAACACATCACATGTTGAACAGGTATACTCAGTGAAAACACTGTCCAACGCGAAGTAGGAGTCACGATCCTTGAAAAAGACCTCTTTTGTGCTGATCATGTCTTATTCTTCGCAAACGTTTCCTGGAACACACCTATCCATTTCTCTGTGTATATTCTCTAACGCCTCAAAAGAGACGATTTTTCGGAAAGAGTACATGGCAACTATTAGTTTTCAGCAATTCATCAACTGACCCATACGATAACATAGA